AAATAGGAGAGTACAAGAAGTTCTCTAATATCATGAGAACAAAGAGATAATCTCTCAAATATAGACCTAAAAATACTCTCTTGAATCTTTCCTCTCTATGTATGATTTTTCTCAAGTGTGTAGATTGCTGAATCAATTGCAATTTGCTCCAAATGCTTGATGCCTTATATAGGCATTGAGAAGAAGCGTATGCACCCAGAATAAGGAAACCTGGAACAAAACAAGGAGCGAAAAAGAGGAAACCATGCATGGAATCATGGCCTAAAATCAAGGAAACGTGTTTTCCTTAAAACAGGAAATATGGAAGAAATTTGTGCCATAACTTTACAAAACTCATATCCATCCTCTTGTTTGAACGATGTGGGACTTTGCTTGCATCCCAACAATCCTCCCCTCAAACAAAGGACCACGATTTACCCCCTCCCCTACAGCGAAAACTACAAGTATTATATGATGGTGGCCCCACAGAGCTCACTCACGCTTTGAGTGCTTGCACCGTCGCTCCATCATGACCTCCTTCATGACAGCGGGACACGCCTCCTAACCCTCCATCGTTTAGGAAGACTTTCGACACAAGGGATCTCAAACTTGGATCCACCTACCAACCATCATACTCGTCGAGAATTTGAACAGAGTTATCACTCTTCAAGAATATGGCGTCACCTAAGGGAGATCCTACCTTTCCATGTGTGTTATAAATTGCTTCTAACATTAGTGAAAGCCATTGAGGGAGCTTGAATGAGTGCAAGAAGTTAAAGATTCGTCTAAGAAGCTTTAAGGAGAAACTTTATCAATCAAGTCTCTCTTAAGGCTTCCATCAGGAGAGCTGGACACATACACATGGATCACTTAAACAAACTTGTGAGAAAAAAAGTTAGTAATAGGACTTCCTGAACTCAAGTTCTATAAGGACAAACTATGTGATGCTTCTCAAAAAGGAAAGCAAGTAAAGGCTACTTTTAAAAGTTAAAACATTATTTCAACCTCAAGGCCTTTACAATTAATTCATGTGGACTTATTTGATCCTTCTAGAACCATGAATAATGGTGGAAACTATTATTATTTGGTAATGGTTGATGATTATTCTAGATTCACTTGTGATGGAAATCTAATCCCCAAGGATCCATTTAGAAGAGGTAAGACCAAGAAGGGTGAAGGTTGATCCATAGGAGAGCTCACACTTGAAGACTATTAGGCCTTTAACTAGGTTCATGGTTAGGATGCTAGAGGAGGCTTTTACAGAGGAGGTGCTTCATAGACCTATGCTCAATATGAGCAATAAGTATGATTCCTCTTTCTAGTCTCATAGTTTCTATTGTTCATACCTTGTATTATTTCAGTTCTTGTACCTTGTATATAGTAGATACTTATATAGGTGTATTTTGCCATTGTATTTGTAAGGCACCTTTTCTTTTTCTTATAGGTCATCCCTTTAGGAATTTAGGGTATATTGTTTGGAAACTTTTGCTCCATTTGACCTTGTATTAAGGGTCATTGATTTTAATATTTTTAGTAGTAGAAATAGGGTGACAAATAGTAAAGTGTGTAGGTGAAGCTAGCAATTGGGCCTATAGTAGGCCTAGGCTAATTTTTACATATTAGGCTTGTTTTGCTCCATTTAATCCAAAGAATTGATTTAGCTAGGTCTCACCCTTATTAGGTGGACCTAACTAAACCAATTTCAACATTTTTGATTGGATTAAGTGAAGGAAAACAAGATGGGTCGCCTAGTTATAATTACTGTATACGTATGTTGGGGTAGAGGGTGTCACGTAAAACAAAAAAATCCTGAAATCAGTTGGTGTGTGTTTGAGATATCAGTAAAAATTAGATTATTTTAATGATTATTTATAATGATTTTTTTGATTAATTAGTTGAAAACTAATTTTAAAATATTTAATTTTATTTCGATACAACAAAAATATTCAATTTTTTTGCATAGTAAAACAATTTTAGAAATTATTGAAAACTAATTATAAGTTTCAAATTTCTAGATACATGATGTCAACTTATTTTTTGAAAGAATTTTTTTTTACAAATTAATTTCAACTATTATTCCAAATACATAATTTATTTTACAAACAAGTTTTTCTTATTAAAAGCTTTTTTTTTTACTAAAAACTTTCTGAAATACACTCAGAATAAAGGTGTGATTAGAAACCTATTTGATTCGTGTTAAATAGAAATTTTATACATTTTAATTTAAAAATTATATAAGTATGACACTCTCTACCTCGACATACATATACAATAATTATAAAAACATATTCTCGAAGTAAATAAAATCTTTTGAATTAAAACAATAATTCCACTAACATAAGAGTAGAGAATTCACATTTGTAAACGTAAATCATGGTCAAATGTAGAATTTACAAGAAAATGAAAAATGGGTTTTTCCAAAACAAAATAACAATAATGAAATTCTAAACTAAGCCTAGTTATGCCCTGATGTCACATATCCTATCAGAGCACATCCAACTGAAACCTAAGCCTTATCACCAACATCGTCATGTTGATGATCACTTGCAACATAATTTAAACACATACAAAGAGCAACAGGGGAGTGAGAAACATCTCACTTAGGTTCAAGTGCAGAAATAAATGCTAGACAATACACACACAACAAACATAATACAAGTCACAAGCACAAATCACATATAAACAATACGCATACACAATCAGTATCACATGTACAATCAATTATTATGCAATGATGTCATGGATTCAACTCACAAATGCATGCATATGGCGCTAGTCACGTATTTCATAATCACATAACATGTGGTATTCTACCGAAGTAACATACCTGGAGTAGTCTAAGAGTACATGCTGGCTCAACCGCACACTCTCAACTAGAAGGATGTATTGCTAGGGTCTCGTTGGGATAGCAAATTCGTGCAAAATACGTGCCATGCACACAAGAAAGAAGAACTGAGCCTTCCAAACCGCGCTATCCCCTGGGACTCCTCCGAGATGTTTCACCTAAAGGACCTTCCCTAACGATGTACTCCATATCGTACCCCGTCACATAGATACATATGATGCATGTCACACATTCACATGTTCATGGACTCAACATTTCACTTCTCATATCTCATCATGTCACATGTTCTCATATCACATTATTGTACTCATAGTCACAAGGTCACATATAAGAGATTTTTATCCTTATCATGCTTATAAAAATAAACCACTTGCATCAACACCATAATAAGACAATTCTCACCCCATTAACACCTTCAAACATAGCTTAAAACTTATATGTTTAATTTCAAAATTATCTATTCCTCATAGGTTTCCCATAGGAACCCACATAACACCCTAATTCATATAAAAACTTATCTATTTTTGAAATTAAACACATATTCACATTCAGTAAATATTAAGAAAAACAACAGAAACTTAGAAGCCAAAACAGAAAACATTCAAAATTTATTTATTTCTAATAGGATTTCCCGCAAGAACCCATAGGACACTATAATTCATATCAAAACTTATCTAATCTTGAAATTGAACACATATATGCACACTTAGAATCACACAAGGAACACAATAGAAGAATCAAAAAACAACACATAAAACTTTTATAAAAAGTGTCTATTCCTATACGCATACATCAGGCAAGGAATTGGGGGTCAATTCGATTACCCAACAATTATTTCCACACCCTTGAGTGAGGTTTCTCACTCTCCCTTATGTTGATGAGTAGAAGACAAAGCGCGTACGGTTCCCGGTGACCTCCTCATGCTTCTTTTGAGTCTTCAGAGCATAGCGCGTAGAAAAGAAGGAGAAAGTGAGAAATGTGAAAATAACTTCTGACAACCTCCTTTCTTAAAAATAATAAAATAAATAATAATAATAATAATAATAATAATACTATTTAGCAAAATACCACTACGTCCCTCCTTCCCTTCTCATAAAATAATTAAAATAATTTAAAATATTTTCTCCTTTTAATAAATAACATAAATATAATTCTTGATAAAACATATTTCCATAAAAATAGTCTTATAGTAAATAATCTAAATATTAATTAAAAATCATGTTTTATATTAAAATAGAGCTCACATAAAATTGATAAATAATACAAAATATACTTCTCTCTTTTAGTAAAAATAACATGCGTTTTATATAAAAATAGAACCCATATCTACTAGCTAAATAATATTGAAAATCTTTCTAATAAACACTCTAAAATATTAAAATAAATGCAAACATATTATTAATAAAATACATTTCATAAAAGTTACCTATATATTACTAATCAAATTAATCATTATAAATCATGTTTCATAAATAAAATAAAGCTCATATAATTAATTAAATAATATCATAACTCTAAAATAACTATATTAAATATCAAAATAATTTTGAAAATATTATTTATATAAAGTATGAAAAATCAGGGTGTTACAATAAACAAGGTGAGTATTGAATTGGCATTGGATAAGGATTTAATTAAACTTTAAACCCAATTGATATCTAAATACACACTAAGCAAGGATAGACCTTCTTGATAACACGGGGAGCCACGGCTCCCTCAAAATTTTCTATAAAAAAATTATATATATATATATATATTATATTTGTATAATTATTTCATGAAATAACTAGTGAATGATAATATTTTGTTAGATTTCATTATCACGTATGTTTATTTTGAGTAGAAAAAAATAAGAAATTTTGTTATTTTTTTAATTAGTAAAATATTTAATTTATATATAAAAAAATTAATTTGACACTCTCAAATTTTTTATTCAAGTTCTGTCACTGACACTGAGTATGCATGGTCAAAACCTGTTAGACTGCCTCATATTATCATATATCATATATTAGTAACTAAAATTAGGCTTCATATATATTTTTCCGAGCCTTTATTCAATAAAATTGTCTTTTAAATATCAATGAATTATCATATTATTTTAGTTTTTATTATAAAATGAGATCCTCATCACTTATTTAGTTGGAACGCACTTGTGGGTCAGCAGTTATAAGTACTGAAATCATGATTTAGGCTATTTTGCTAACTAAAACATAACATCTTAGTTGAATTAACCAAGTTTTTGATTGGTGATAAATTGATAATGAAACTATGGCCATGGACATTGATGGCCACTGCTTCTTATAGATGTTGGAACGCAAACAGACACCACAAAAACCTGTGAGTCACGCAACCTTGAAAAATGACGCATGAACAACCATGTTCAAAATATAGTTATCAACATAAACACGACGATGTCACATAACTGTACATATATGGCCCATGAGTGTGAATCAAGTCTTAATTTGCATGTTCATCATATATTGCCTTTATATGAGACTAAC